TCTTCTTCTTCTTCTTCTTCTTCTTCTTCTTCTTCTTCTTCTTCTTCTCTCTCTCTCTCTCTCTCTCTGAAGAAAAAGAAGGCACTCTAGAGTTGCCCCCGGAATGTGCATCTGACGAAGAGAGTGCTCTGGCTCTCGAACATTCGTACCCTCAAACACCTTGCTGGACTCAAACTTTGCTGTTCTGCCCTAGACCAACAAGGCTAACCTCTGGCACTGTCAACATACATACTGTGCCAAAACAGTTTTGAAGGAAACATCTGCTGGGGCCACAAGTGGTCAGATAGTGGAACCCCCCCCAGTTCTGTTGGTGGACTGTTTGTCATGCTCTTCTGTTACAACAAACTTACAGTGTCTTGTAAATAATGCTTTGTGCTGTGTCCTGCTTGTAACCTCTTGTGTTTTATTTTAACTGCCTTTTAACAGAATTCTTTTTTAAGCTTTAAAAAACAAAATAGTAGTAATTATTTTAGTAGTAGTAGTAATAATAACAATAATAATTACTATTGTTACTACTACTACTACTTTCTGTATCTCATAGTCTTACACAAAAAGGGACATGCTGATCTCCACTTTGGGGTCAGGAAGCAATTTTTCTCCAGGCCAGTTTGGTTGGAGATCGTGGAGGTTTTTTTTGTCATCTTCTGGGTGTGGAACTGTGGTCACTGGGGGTGTGGAGGAGGTTTTTGTGAATTTCCTGCACTGTGCAGGGGGTTGGACTGGTGACCCTGGAGGTCCCAACTCTATGATTCTGTGATTCTAAAGCACATTATCCAGATGATAAACACCATCTGAGCAGTTGTCAGGATTACTACGTCATCCAGATAGTTACAGAACCACATAAAGCTTCCAGTAGAGTCAAACGACTTCCCCTTTGTAGATAAGCAAGCTTCAAGTTAACATAGGTCTGAAGAAGTGTGCTTGCACACAAAAGCTTATACTTTGAATAAAACTTTGTCGGTCTTAAAGGAGCCACTGGGACTCAAACTTTATAAATCTCCTTAATTTCCCCCCCAATCCAATCATGTACATTTGGGACTAAGTTCTATTTCCAGAATTTTAGGAGATTCCACATAACACTGCTGTAGGATGCAGAGATTTAAAGTCTGGTGAAAGAGAATGTAGAGAATCGCATAAGGACTTTCTGCCAGTTTGGTGTAGTGGTTAAATGCGCGGACTCTAATCTGGGAGAGCCGGGTTTGATTCCCCACTCCTCCACTTGCAGCTGCTGGATGACCTTGGGCAAGCCATAGTTCTGTCAGAGCTGTTCTCTCACGGACAGTTCTGGAAAGAGCTCTCTCAGCCCCACGTACCTCACAGAGTGTCTGTTGTGGGGAGAGGAAGGGAAAGGAGTTTGTAAGCCGCTCTGAGACTTTATTTTTTATCTCTTTATTTTTTAAGCCTAGTAGGCTCTCTTATTTTATCTCTCCGACTTTGCGAAAAAAACCCAACAAACAGTGAGTCCTGTCGATTTCTCCTGCTGCTAGCGGAGGAGTCTTGGATCCCGGCTGGTCTTCTGAACTTCCCTGCATCTCCGCACTCCTAAAGAGCTTCAGTAATTGGCCCCATTTGGGAAGCTTGCAGACTGGAGCCAAGTACATCTAAGCCTTCCTCAAGCAGGAAACAGGAATTAATGTGCAGCGTTTCTCATCCTGTGGTTGAAATTTTCGCTGCTCGGAAGAAGAGCGCAGCACAGGGGGGGGAACGGCTGCGGGGCTGCTGCTGCTGCTGCTGCTGCTCCTACCGGCC